TCTATGTAGGCCACGCTGGCCTCAAATTCACAGTCTTCTATCCCATCCTATAAAGTGCTGGGATTACAGGCATGAGCTACCAGGCCTGGCAAGAATACTGATATGCAAAATTTTCTTTGGGAATTAAAATATAGCTGAGAGGTACAGTCCTTGCCTAACAAGCACAAGACCTTAGGTATCACACAGACACATACAAATTCTCTGCTGGCATACCTTTAGAAAGGATGCGCCCATCATTGATTTAGAGATGTGAATTGTTTGAATATGAGGAGTTTTCCATACCTCTTGCAGCTTGGCTATGTGTAAATTCACTTTGTGTCCATCTTTGATTCTATCTGTAAGCAAGCATATTACTGTGAATTTCAGAGGCAAGGATAAATTCAAGAAGTTTAATATCATCTAGATATTGAGCTGACCAGATAGCTCAGTGGACTAAAGCGCCTGCCTAGGCAGGTGCAGGGACTGGGGTTCAATCCCTGGCATGTTGTGCTGGCCCTGCCCCCAGGGCGCACTGAGATGGCAATGGAGACTGGGTGTGGTGGCATGCACCTAAAACCCCAGTGCTTGGGAGGCTGAAAACAATCACTACGAGCCCGATCTACGTAGTGAGACCCTGTACTAAATACATATAATAATAATAACAATTACTAGATATTTACATTGTATTACCCATCATCCTGGAATAGTAATGAGTATTTTTAAGTAAGATAGTAAGTTGGAAGACACTGTATTACATGTCCTTTGGTTGCAGAGTACACAAACATCTTGACACTCCTCCCAAGAAGATATACAGATAGCCAATAAGCACATAAGACACTTAGTACACCTATTACTAGGAAAATGCAAATTTAAAAAACAGTGAGGGGCTGGGGATATAGCTCAGCAGCGCAGCACCTGCCTGGCAAACGCTAGGTTGTGAATTCCATTCCCAGTACCAAAAAAAAAGGATACAGCTCTTAGGATAGCTATCATGAAAGAAAGAAAAAGAGAAAGGAAACAAGGAGAAAGAAAAGAAAGAAAAAAATTAAGAAAGAAAAGCAAACAAACATGTTGGTTAGGATTTGGAAAAATGAGATAAAACTAATGAGTGAAAGTTTAAAGTTAATTAAGGGCCAGGGATTTAGCTCAGTGGCACAGTACCTCCCTGGCAAGTGTAAGGTCCCAAGTTGGATTCCCGGTACTAGAAAAAAAAGTTTTAAAAATTAAAATACATATGCATGGTTTCAAAATATAACTCCATGTTATTGAGAGATGAAGTGGTGAGATGAATATAAGGTTTTA